TTACCTATCTCCAAATCTTCCACCATAGGACTAGGCTCCTTCGAATCTTCCACCACAGGACTAGGCACTGGGTTTGATGGTTGGCAGGGAGTAAGAGCTTTTGGCCTTCTAGAGTAGATAATATTCTTCCATTTTAAAGTCTAGGCATCTATTTTGTCATGAGTTTCTCCCTCTGAACTAGGTCTTGTAAATGAAGGATCATTGTCATTCAAAGGAAGAGAAATGGAAGGATCCCAACATGGAGCTTCACTTGATTTCTCCCCTTGAAGAGGAGCATTTGGATAAAATGGTTGGCTTTCAAGAAAAGTGACATCAGTTGAAACAAAGAATTGTCTGGAAGTAGGACAGTAACATTTGTACCCTTTTTTAGTAGGCGAATATCCAACAAAGACACAACGGATGGCTCTAGAGTCAAATTTGGAACGATTTGGAGAATGGTTGTAGACATAAGTCATACATCCGAAAACTTACAGAGGTAAGGAAGTAAGAAGACAAACATTGGGAAAAAATTCTTTTAGTAGGCTAATAGGTGTTCGACTCTTAGAAGGAAGATGATTGATGAGGTAGGATGCAGTTAAAGTGGCCTCACCCCATAAGAAGTTAGGAACATTAAAGGCAAACATGAGTGACCTTGTGACCTCTAGAATATGCATATACTTTCTTTTAGCCAAGACATTTTGTTGGGGAGTATATGCACAAGATGTTTGATGAAATATGCCATGATCAGAAAGGTATGATTGAAAATCATGAGACATATATTCCCTACCGTTATCATTGCGGAGAATTTGAATAGATTTCTGAAAAACAGTGTGTATAAATTTGTGGAATTTCTTAAAGATGGAGCAAGCTTGAGATTTTTCTTTCATGAGGTATACCCAACAAACCCTTGTATCATCAACTATAAATGTAATAAACTAGGTAGTATGAGTTAAATTTGTAGAAGGAGAAGGTCCCCAAATGTCACTATGAACAAGATGAAATGGTTGTGATGATTGATATGAGTGCAAAGGATAGGAATGTCAAGACTGTTTAGTATGAATACAATCTTCACACTGAAAAGTTCTGATGTCTTTATTAATAAAAAGGTGTGGATAGAAATGTTTTAAATAATTGAAACTTGGATATCCAAGGCATTGATGTCAAAGAAACACCTCTTTATTAGAAATAGTAGAGACAGAAAGGGAAAAAAATTTGAACCTCGAGGAGATGGAGCACCCATGAGAAAATAGAGACCATTGCACTGCTTAGCATTGCCAATCATCGTCCTGAAGACCGGTCCTCAAATTCACAATGAGATGGAAAGAATGTTACTATACAATTAAAGTCCTTAATAATTTATTGAGAGAGAGTAAATTACAGAAAAAATTGGGAACATAAAGAACTGAGTTTAACATTAAATTAGACACTATAACAGTCCCACGACCAGCGACATGGAAAACAATACCATCTGCCATGGAAACGTTAAAATTAGCAGGACAAGTTTCAAACGCAATAAACTTAGAGATAAAACCAATCATATGGTGGATGACACATCGGCATAATTAAGAATACCTCTATAAGCAACCGAAGCAGTAGTAGTAGGAGAATTTGATGTTGTAAGGAGCTTAGTTTGACTTAGAATAGCTTGCAGTATTTCAACTTGTGAGGCTGAAAGTTGAAGACTCTGGGTAGGAGTAGGCTTAACTGTAGGAGTTGTTGTATATGCAGAACGTGTGTTATTATTCCATCTCTTTGTTGTCCATTTCTTTGACTACATGGCTTCCAATCAGTGGGCTTACCATGAAGTTTCCAACATGTGTCACATGTATGATAGGGTCAATTATAGTGATCACACCAGTGTTTGGAAGCTGTTTTCTGATTTCGAGCACTTTGTGTAGCAAGAGCAAAGGCATGAGAAGCTGAGTTCATTCCAGAGTTGCTTGCCCTTTCTACGAATAATTAGAAGAACAGGTTGTAAGCACTCACGAAAGTTGGCTTCTCCATTGAGAGGGTGCTGAGTGGTTTGAAGGATATGAGAATCGACAACTGAGGCAACAACAGGTGGTGGAACCAGGGGTGGTGGAGATGGAACTAGTTGAGATTGATGAGTTTTGGGAATCAATAGTCATAGAGAAAAAAACTGATCAAAAAATTGATGGTTGATTTGGCGAGATGATAGCAGATCGACAACTTCTGAAGTTTTCCGGTGGCTAGGTTGAAAGGTCAATAGTTTCTCGTTTTTTTAGAAGAGAAAAAATTTCGAGAACCTAGGGCTCTAATACCATGAAACAAGAATTGAAGAAATTGTGAATTCTTGTTTAATTTTATTCAATAGAGTAGGGATGAATTTATACATGATTTACAACAACAAAAAGGAAAGAAAATAAACATAAATCAATCTAAACTAGGAAAGAATCACATTAGTAATATACATTAACTAAAAAGGAATGTATCCCTAAACTTTAGGGATTTATTTCTTGTTTACAACAAATGTTTTTTTTTCAAATTATTGTAGTTTAAAAAAAATTAGTTTATATTGCATATAAAATAACCTTAATGCCCTTAATAAAGTTAAAGTTAAACTGTTAAGCGCTATCTTATTTTCTTTTCTAATATAATTGTAAGTTTATCATAAAAGTGTCATTTGGCTAATAGTAATGCTATTCTTTTATTTACCAAAAAAATAAATAAATAAATAAATAAATAATGCTATTCTTTTTCAATTTTTAGTTTTGTTTTTTTATTAACTTCTTTATTCCAAAATTTTGTTTTCTTATTATAGTGATTAAAACGATGAAATTGTCCTTCTAGATAGCCCTTTTTTTTTTTTTTTTTTTTTTTTCAAGTATAGATAGGTTTACTTGATCCCAAATATTCGTTTTCATTTTAAAAATTAAGTGAAATGATGAAATTATCCTTTTTCAATGATAGAAATGTAACGAAGTGAGCAATAAGGGTTGTATTTACATAATTCTCAAAATGTCACGCGTGGTGTTGGTATAATAACCTTAAACTTAGTATCTAAGTTCAGTTTTCAAAACCTTAGGGGCGATAAGATAATCAATCCAATCTTTAACATTGTAAAATTTCTATTGAATGCTCAGTTAGATCTTAATGAGCGTGTCAATATAGATACACGTTACACCCTGGCGCCCTCTTCTTGAGAAAATAATAACTTGCAAATGGCCCAACAATTTAGGAAAGTATTAAGGATGTGTTTAGTTCAGAGAATATTGTATTACTGAGAATGTTATACTAATAGAAAGATATATTACCTTAAATATTATTAGAAATATTTAGAGAAATGTATTTTGTTGGTTTAAATAAATTGATGGATATGTTATATTGCTATATTTGGTTGGGAGAAATAAATTGGTGGATATATTATATAGATTACTAAATTGTCCTCTTTTAAATATTAAAATAATATTTTTTTGAATCCTTTTTAAACCCTTATATTTTGAGATTTTGCTAAAACACCCCAACCATATAAAAGTTTAATTTGTAACAAAATCACCCCCACCCACCCCAAGCCACTATCGACCACCGACCACCATTGCCGGTCGTCACCGACAGTTACCATAACGGTGCATAACCGACTGAATCTGGTTAATCGTGCACCGATTTGGTCATTTTTTACCAGATCAATTGCCAAAAATGGCCAAATGGCCATGGATCTGGTCATTTTCAGCCTAATAAATGGTCGTTAATGGCCAGACCTATTCCGGTGCACAACACCATGGATCTTCCACAGATTTGGCTATTTTTTGCCACATATACGCTCATCTAGCCATTTTCGACCATCAATTTGGTAAAAAAGGGCCAAATCCAATCGTGCACCGTTCCGAACGACCGTCAACAGTGATTGACGATGACCAGCGGTGGTGGTTGGCAGGCAACGGTGGTCCTAGGTGGCCTACAATTTGTTTTAAATATAAATACATTATTGTCCAAAAATTTAATTAATTAGGGCTAAAATTGTAATAGTAGGTTCATATAAATTAATTTCAAAATAAAGCCATCATTGTCAAAAAAATTAATAGTTTAGGATAAAATTGTAACAAAGTTAAGATTACCAAGTAATCTTAAAATATCTAAGAAAATGGAAATAATCCGATTACCACCTCTATAACCAATAGTAATTATTATTGATATTACGGAAATCTTATATTATTTGACAATCAAACATAATAATCAAGTAATATAAAATGACATTACTTCAGTAATGGGGAATCATCCCCAACCAAACACACCCTTAAAAATATAACAAAATTCCTGTGCAAGGAGGTTTTAATACTTTCTTAAAGTCATTAGGGTACTTAAAACTTTGCTCTCTCAAGAGGTGAACGAAATTAACCTATCAAAGAAATAAAAGAATTAAAGAACAAATAGAAAGTGAGAGCCAACTTTGAGAATGTGAAATCCCATTGGTGGTGATGGCTTTATAATCCCATTTTTATCCATCTTCATGAGAGTAAGCCTTTATTGGTCACAAGAGTCCACCAATCTAATAAGCATTTACAGTCACAAACATAGATAAGGATATGATATGATATCACAATCCAATTCTATGCCTTATTAGATACACTAAACATGTCCTTATTCTTAGGAAAAGTCTTTTATAGAATAAATGTACTAATAATGAATCAATTATAGGACAAGTATATATTAGTATATTACACATGCTGATGTAACACCTTACAGTCAATTGGTGAATGCATAAACAATTAATTGACATAGGACATACATATTACACGTACTAATGTAGTCACATGCAACTTTAAATAAAAAACATAATTGTGTTTCTTATGTACCAAGTACCAACCATATCCCTTGGCACAAATAACATTGATCAAACCATTTGGTGAAAGCTTTTCAGAAATGTATAAGCTGTCTAAAAAGGGTAAATTACCACCAAAAATAATAAAGTTATATCCAAAAGTCTGTAAAGCTCGGCTAATATCGGCGTTAAACAGAAAAGTAAATGGTCAAATGTTCCTACATGTTCACAAGAATAATAATAATAAAAAAAAGGAGTGAATTAATTAAATCAGTAAACTCCTAACATTGAAGGTTAATGTCATGCCAAAAGGATAAGTCAAATTCTGTCAACCAGTCTTCTTTTCCAAGATTATATAACTCAAGTTTCAACAAATGAAGAATTAAGAGGAATCTCCTCTCACTCTCTAACTTTTCCATTTTATCTTATGTTGAACCAGAAATTAAGCAGATGGCGATAGCAACAAACTTGACACAGTTTGATGCAAACTAAGGTGCTTGTTTATCAGTCTGAACTTCTCTTTGAGCCTCTTAATCTGCAAAATCATGTTGCTCGAACATATTATGACAAAGAGAGATAAAAAGAGAGTTCTTAATGGAAAAGAAAATTAAACATAATTAAAGTACCCTTTTCAGCTCAATCTCTGCATCCTGCTTCCGTTGGCTCAATGAATATCGCAAATTGGTGATGTCAAACACATTATCTAAGTCATCTTCAAATGCAGATTCTAGGTCCTCCCTTAAGAGTGCAGGCAACTTGTCAACCACTGGCATTAGAAGGAAACAGTTGAACTGCAAAATAACAGAGTTATAAACAGTGTAAACTGAATGGGAAAGAAAAACAGCCATGCATAGATGAGAATTTGACAAAACAGAATCCGAGTCCCCTACCTTCTGTTTTTCTTGCCATTGAAATATGACATAAATTTCCAAAACAAGCAATGTTGTATTACATTCATGTATCATCATGGCTAAAATAAGATGCAGAATCAAATACAGAAAGATGGAAGCAATAGCATACTTCGGGTTTATTTCATTTACTCCACTCTGAGATTTCTTAATATGTTGATTCACCGCCACTGAAAAGTATTAAGTACACCTTATCAAAGGGTTTTGATAATTTTGTAGGAGGGTTTTGATATTTTGTAGGGGGATGTTTATAATTCTAGGGGGGTATATAATACTTTTCAATAACGGTGGATGCCTGATTTAGTAGGGGGATAAAGGAAATAAATCCGCATAACTTTGTACTAAAAAGTAGACAATAGAACGTGGAAAACCTTCAATTCAGCAGAAGCCAAAAAGTATTCTCTTATTCCATGGAATATATGTTGTACTAAAGCGTAAACAATCCTCTCAGATGAAGGTGCAAGTCTCCGATTCCAGAGGGTGTTATCTAGAAGGTCCGCCAACCTTGTTTCTGTTGTCTGAACACAAGAGCTTGAATCAGCACCTGAAGCTAAATGACTGAGCTTTACATCTGTTCTAGGCTTAGTATCGTGCTTCTCATTACCAATTGACCCAAGTGATGGCCCTTGAGAAATATCCACAGATATAGAATTACTTAACACAGTGGACTGCTCTGTTCCACCAAATGAGTCTAAGAATTGACGTAATCCAGCACGGTTCTACAAATTTAATGTCAAATGTAAAGATAAGTAGATGTAAGCACCAACAGAACATACAACTAGAAATGTCTTTAAAAGCTGATAAGAAGTCCCACAACAATAAATTACTTTTTAAACTATTGGTAGTAACCCTTTGAAGACATAAATGAAACACGGAAACTTGAAAAAGCAAAACGGTGGGGAAACTACAAAAGTTAATCCCTGACACCAAATTATTTAAAGATGCAAATGATGCAATATAGATTCTAAATTTGGACAAGTCCATAAAGCATGGACTTCATTTCAGAAATAATGCAGATGCATATGAAACGAAAAATAAGATAAAAAATTTAAGTAGCTACATTTCCAATAGATAATTTAACGGCCCAAAAGTCAATAATGTTAACCTTATTGTGGAGTGACCATGAAACATAACGGGTAGTGCTCACCAAATCCTCCATACATCTGGAGCAAAATATTGATGAAAGAAATTGGGCATCAGTTGAAGCTAGCCAGAGAAGAGCAAACAAACAACCAAAATAAAAAAAGCAGTTCCCACAGAAAATCAGGTGATTAGCAAACAACGTAAAATATATAGCCTTGGCAACAAAGAATCAAATGTTACTCTTCTACACCATGACAATAAAAGAGCAGAAAACTACCTAGACATGAATTTTCATTCAGATATTTTGTTTGTGCAACTCAGAGAATCTTCCTGTCAAATAATCATAAGTCCTAGCATTTACTTGCTTAATTTGGTTGTCCCCTAGTAAGCTAGCTTCACTGCATGTTGTAACTAGATAAAATATTTTAAAGCAATTCATGCAAATTATAACAGACAGCAAAACAATTAGATTGCAATAAAGGAAAGTATGCTGTGGCTTATTGTTAAAGTTTTAAGGATACATGTTCCTTTCCAATGCAAAAACAAGGAAAACTTGATTAGTAACTTATTTAGCAAAAATAATTTTGGAAATTAAGGAAATCATTTTACAAAGTTATGAAGAAAACCTGAAAACACACTCTTGGTTGTTTCTGAAAAAAATTTCAAAAAGTTGGATATATATTCGATGTTTGTTTGCTTTCAAATATTCCACCAAATGTGTTTTCATCTAATAATTTTAGAATTTTTTTTTTTTTTTTTTTTTTTTTTTTTTTTTTTTGTTTGTTTATACAAAAAGCTATGAAGTATATTCTTAGATCTAAAAAACCAAATTGATTCCGAAAATAATAGTAAAAATGGCACCAAATGTCCCTTACTTTTCACGGCACGATCTTTCTGTAGATTCTTGCAAAGTTGTTGAAGGCAGAAGCAACACGCCTTAGAAATACCTCATGGCCACTCAGATCCTCACCATCTTTCTATTAGAACACAGTAAAGTTAAAATAATAAGTTAATACTAGAAAAACTGTCCAACTATTAAATGAATTATAGTCCACAAGATTCTATGGCATGACAGAATTTCCAACTCACTAAATAACAGAGCCCATACCTGTAGAAGATAGACAGATATAGGAAGCAATCTTTTCAGAATGTGCAAGAGCCTAAAGCCCAACTGTATAGGATAAAGAAAGATCTTAGTAGCAGCATAGAAGCAAGGACCAAGAAGAAAATATTAATCAAAGAACTTGCTAAGCTGCCCGTGTGCACTAGGGGTCCAAAAAAGGAATAGGAAAAAGAAGAGAAAAGAGGAAAATACTTAAGCTTTCCAAACCTTCTGATTCTGAATAAAGAAAAAGGAAATCCCCCGATATTGCTTTCTAACTGAAGTCCACAAAGAAGCAAAAAGGAGTCTTATCCCAAAGAAAATTCACATCCTTTCCTTTGAATTAGAAGAGAAAAAAAGAGGTTTTTATCCCCTTACGCACCAAATAACCCATACAGCAGCCAGAAAGCAATATCTCCATAAAAACCAAGCTTTCTCTCCTCCAAATGCTTTGCGGTATCAAATAATTAAAGCATTTAATTTTTATATCTGAAACACCTGCCAATACTAATGGCAGGGCAATATAGGATGATTATCAAAAACTTTGGTTTCCTTTAAAACTCGAGGAACTCTCGAGGGATTTATAATAGTTACCCCTTTTATTTCTAGCTAGATTTATATTAGGGCTGTTATTACAGATCACTCTGTTATTATAATTATCAAACCCTGTTATTAAAATTTAGGGCCCAGCTCCCAAATCCTTATATATCATGTCCTTCATAAATTATTAAAATAACCTGTCTAAGCAGTCAATTCCTTTTTCTGTTCTATCTGTCGTAATTATTATTTATTATTATTATTATTATTATTATTATTATTTTTTGAAACTTTTTCTCAACTGATCATAGTGCAGTAACTGAGTATCCACTCTGCTTAGGGTTTAAAAATTTACTTGTAATCTTTTCCTTTTGAAAGAAGAAAACTGATTAAGCAGATACAGAGAGAAGCACACGAGTCAAAATTGTTCTGCACCCAAACCCTCAATGAGATCATCAGATAATCCCATAAACTCAACTTCTTAGATCCAGGCCCTACGTATCCCACTTATCCCTAATAACTCCAAAGCACAATTACATCCATCCAACCACTAATTCCTAGCAACAACCAACAAAAGTAAAGACAACCAAGCTGTACTTCATCCCTAAACACTAAACCCCTAAAGTTGGCCCCAGTTTGAGGTACCTAGCCAAAACTCTATAAAACATCACAAAGAAGACATTTTCCTTCTTCCAAATCCATGATCATCACATAACCTGTTCACGTTGGCTAATTGATAATAATGCCTCCCAACTTGACCATAAAAATAATGGTCTTGGTAAAATACCTCACATGAGCCTATAAACATTGACCTGCAGAGATTAATGCTCACCTCATTTGAACAACAGTAGGCCAAAAAATTCTTACAACTAGGCAACTTTGAAAAGAGTCCTTGATAAATTGGCTTTGCATTGGCAAAATGTGGAACAGTTGAGCATCATACAACATATGTAAAGTGGCTAGAAGGCAGAGTTCATAGATAAATCCAAGTCTCAATCATTTAATGGTACCCGACACAAACATTCCTTGTAACATAACACAAGAAGACGAAAAAAAGAAGGAAAAGAAAGAATAGAAATGTGTTGTGGTATAGCAAGATGGTAGAAGGAATACATTGGTAGATAAGACAGTAGTTATCACCTGATGAAGAAAAGGTTCGAATGTATCACGGGCCTTTGCAACGGCGATCACACAAGCCGTCCTGGTTTCCCAGATAAAAATGGAAAAATTATAAAATTATAAACAAATCCTGAAGAATATCAGTACAAGCACCAGGAAACCCAATACCTAGAATAGTTTGTTCCATCATGAATATCTTCAACTCCACAAGCATTTACGATTTCCTCTCGTGTAATTGGAGGGCATTTCATTCCTCCAACCACAAAACGAAATTCAGCCATGGCCCGATGATATTGTGCGCCCCCATAAAGCCGCATTCCTGCATTCTACCGGAAAAGGAAACCTTGTCTCAGTATGCATGTTTACATTCAGAATAAAAGAAAAAAGATTGAATTGTTTCAGTGGTCCAGTAAAAAATACTTTCCTACACGATAAAATCAGCTATACATACGTACACTGCTACGTATCTGATACATGGCCATAATAGTGAAGAACATAAACATGGAAAGATTTCCTCTTGCTCTCAAGGGAGAAAACCACTCAAGAATTTTGCAAGCACATAAATGGTGTACTTTAAGCAAGACAAGAAATAAATCATAAAATTAAGTCAAAATATATTTATAGTTTGACAGTATTCCGCCTTACAGGTATCAACTTGTGTGGCAACTGAATACCATCTGTTCCAATGAATGTGCCTCCATTAGTTCTCTCATCTTGTAGTGTTTCACCTGCAACAAAACAAAGTAAAGCTATTCATGTCCAACAGGAGAACCAGAGATGCATAAAAATATAAATCGTTAAGGACTTCAGCAAAATTTTTGAGAGACATATGTTCGTTTGTTCAAGAATAAAAAAAAGATAAAACATTATTTACCAAATTTATCTGGAGGTGCAACAACTGTCCCTTTCAGTAGCAATGACAACTGACCAGTAAACATATACTTCAGTCAGAACAAGTAACATTTACAGGAACAATATCTGTGAAGCACTAGTAAGACTCCATATACAAATCCGTATACTTCTCCAACATATAAAGAGGAAGGATGAGTGGGACAGATTCAGAAGACTACTAATTTGTGTAATAGTAAAACAAACAGGTAGTCTAATTTCTTCACACTACCTCTGTCTATCTAGGCAATTCCACTATACTGTAATAACATAGAATAAGCCACCCATGAAAAAGAAATATTGACAGCAGCAATAGAAAACTCCAAAACGAGTAAACCCTTAATTGAAACCTTGGTCAAGAACAGATCATGAAAAATTCTTCCTTTTTCCTTTAGTTTTACTTCATCCAAAGTGCTGCATGAAAGGAAAAAATGGAATTGGTCATGATGAAAGAAAAAGTAATGCAACCAAANTTATTTTTTGAAACTTTTTCTCAACTGATCATAGTGCAGTAACTGAGTATCCACTCTGCTTAGGGTTTAAAAATTTACTTGTAATCTTTTCCTTTTGAAAGAAGAAAACTGATTAAGCAGATACAGAGAGAAGCACACGAGTCAAAATTGTTCTGCACCCAAACCCTCAATGAGATCATCAGATAATCCCATAAACTCAACTTCTTAGATCCAGGCCCTACGTATCCCACTTATCCCTAATAACTCCAAAGCACAATTACATCCATCCAACCACTAATTCCTAGCAACAACCAACAAAAGTAAAGACAACCAAGCTGTACTTCATCCCTAAACACTAAACCCCTAAAGTTGGCCCCAGTTTGAGGTACCTAGCCAAAACTCTATAAAACATCACAAAGAAGACATTTTCCTTCTTCCAAATCCATGATCATCACATAACCTGTTCACGTTGGCTAATTGATAATAATGCCTCCCAACTTGACCATAAAAATAATGGTCTTGGTAAAATACCTCACATGAGCCTATAAACATTGACCTGCAGAGATTAATGCTCACCTCATTTGAACAACAGTAGGCCAAAAAATTCTTACAACTAGGCAACTTTGAAAAGAGTCCTTGATAAATTGGCTTTGCATTGGCAAAATGTGGAACAGTTGAGCATCATACAACATATGTAAAGTGGCTAGAAGGCAGAGTTCATAGATAAATCCAAGTCTCAATCATTTAATGGTACCCGACACAAACATTCCTTGTAACATAACACAAGAAGACGAAAAAAAGAAGGAAAAGAAAGAATAGAAATGTGTTGTGGTATAGCAAGATGGTAGAAGGAATACATTGGTAGATAAGACAGTAGTTATCACCTGATGAAGAAAAGGTTCGAATGTATCACGGGCCTTTGCAACGGCGATCACACAAGCCGTCCTGGTTTCCCAGATAAAAATGGAAAAATTATAAAATTATAAACAAATCCTGAAGAATATCAGTACAAGCACCAGGAAACCCAATACCTAGAATAGTTTGTTCCATCATGAATATCTTCAACTCCACAAGCATTTACGATTTCCTCTCGTGTAATTGGAGGGCATTTCATTCCTCCAACCACAAAACGAAATTCAGCCATGGCCCGATGATATTGTGCGCCCCCATAAAGCCGCATTCCTGCATTCTACCGGAAAAGGAAACCTTGTCTCAGTATGCATGTTTACATTCAGAATAAAAGAAAAAAGATTGAATTGTTTCAGTGGTCCAGTAAAAAATACTTTCCTACACGATAAAATCAGCTATACATACGTACACTGCTACGTATCTGATACATGGCCATAATAGTGAAGAACATAAACATGGAAAGATTTCCTCTTGCTCTCAAGGGAGAAAACCACTCAAGAATTTTGCAAGCACATAAATGGTGTACTTTAAGCAAGACAAGAAATAAATCATAAAATTAAGTCAAAATATATTTATAGTTTGACAGTATTCCGCCTTACAGGTATCAACTTGTGTGGCAACTGAATACCATCTGTTCCAATGAATGTGCCTCCATTAGTTCTCTCATCTTGTAGTGTTTCACCTGCAACAAAACAAAGTAAAGCTATTCATGTCCAACAGGAGAACCAGAGATGCATAAAAATATAAATCGTTAAGGACTTCAGCAAAATTTTTGAGAGACATATGTTCGTTTGTTCAAGAATAAAAAAAAGATAAAACATTATTTACCAAATTTATCTGGAGGTGCAACAACTGTCCCTTTCAGTAGCAATGACAACTGACCAGTAAACATATACTTCAGTCAGAACAAGTAACATTTACAGGAACAATATCTGTGAAGCACTAGTAAGACTCCATATACAAATCCGTATACTTCTCCAACATATAAAGAGGAAGGATGAGTGGGACAGATTCAGAAGACTACTAATTTGTGTAATAGTAAAACAAACAGGTAGTCTAATTTCTTCACACTACCTCTGTCTATCTAGGCAATTCCACTATACTGTAATAACATAGAATAAGCCACCCATGAAAAAGAAATATTGACAGCAGCAATAGAAAACTCCAAAACGAGTAACCCTTAATTGAAACCTTGGTCAAGAACAGATCATGAAAAATTCTTCCTTTTTCCTTTAGTTTTACTTCATCCAAAGTGCTGCATGAAAGGAAAAAATGGAATTGGTCATGATGAAAGAAAAAGTAATGCAACCAAAGGAAACTATTAAAAAAAAAAAAAAAAAAAGGTATGGTTAAAATAATGATTTCAGCACCTGCAGCTTTATTGAAACTTAGCAGTTAACATACATAATTCATATCTATCAAAAATTTCCTCTAGGAAACCATTTTTCTTTTAATATAAATTGAATTACAAACCTGAGTTCCTTGCTCATTTCACTCAGTTTTCTTGTTGTGCTGCAGTACTCCTTCTCAAGAAGTGGAATGATTGAAGGAACACTATCCATGTACCTTGTGAGCATAAAGTTATTGGACTTTTAATTATAGAAAATAGCAGGTTAATAATAAGCTAAGAACAGATTCATCAAAATGGAAGACAGAGAAACACAGAATTGCACACCTTCTCTGCAGCAGTTCTTCCAAAAATAATCTAAGTTTGCTCACACCAATTCGACTTCTTTCTTGCTTTGACAGTGGCCGGCCTAACTTCTCTTCCAAAGATGCAATATCTTCCATCTCTCTCAAAGATATAGCCTGCCTTAAGAATTAATCATAAGATATCTGTAGGCATAAATAAAGCAAGATGATCAAACTGTAAGATATCTGATGAGACCCCTAATATGCTGGTTTATGGTAG